GATTATGGTATTCGATGTTGCTGCGCCGCATTTTGTTCCGGAAAGTGAGAAAATCGTCTCCATACGCCACTTCAACAGTGCCAGGTAGCTGCAACAAAAGAAGTCCGCATATCATACGCACACAAAAGGGAAACACTTCATATAAATGGCAATTATTGAGCTCACTAACAATAAAAATAAATTACTGTTATATTTTCCACTTCAAAATCCAGCGTATGTATGCCGTATGTGTTTTGGATTGAACAAGAGGAATTGTGTGTGTGTGTGTTTGTTTTCAGTTCATAGACAATATGCGATATATACCGAAATAATATACTGAATAGGCGATCGGTAATTGTTTTCGAATCGTGGCTTCGATCGGACGACAGCCAACACAGCACACAGACTCTTTTTTAAACAGCCGACATTTCGATGACATAATTAATCATTTTGCGCTTTTGATCAAATCGGCGCAGCCGGTTTGCAATTCCAACAAAAGGAAACGACTCGATATTATTTCTATCAATGCGATCTCTCGACAAACAAATAGAGAAAAAGAGAGAGAGAGAGAGAGAAGAGCGTGCATTATTGTTTAGCGTTGCCATTACAAAATCGTATTTCGCTTCCAGGCCACGTGCAATTACCGAATGATTGGATTGTTTACGCTATCGATACACACAATCTCAATAATAATGACAACCAGATACTGCCGCATTTGTAATATTTAAATTAACATAACTTTTTCTCTCCTTTTCTCACTCTTTTTCTCATTCACTCTCTTTCTATCTGTCTCACTCGTTGAGATTTCAATTGTTTTTGCTTCGAAATGAACTATTTTTGAATAGATTTTGTGTGGAAAATGGAATTTGCATTTAAAATTGAGTTGAGCATTTGAAAAAGACTGATTCAGTTTGACCAGAAGTTGTACGAAGAATACAATTCACAGAAAAGAAATTTTCTCTTCCCAAAAGCATTAATTTTGGGCAAAACTATAATAATACTTGGATGAATTAAGTAGCAAATAGAAAAAAATGACAAAAACTACTAATATCCCAAGGGTAGATCTGTTTTCACCCCACACGATGACTTTCAAAGATGTAAATTCAGATTGAAAACCCCAACACCTAAAAAATAACTCTGAAAATACGAAATATCTTATGTTCCATATCAGGCGCTGTTTAGAGACAAAGTAAGATGGAGTGAGTGTGTGGTAAAACGTATGGTTCTATTGTGATTGGTTTTCATATAGCCGAAAAATGGTCGCTAGCTGAATGCTTTCTCTGTGCTGTGCTGTGATGTTTTGTATTGTGATGTGTTTTTGGGGTCTTGGCTCTTGGCTCATAGCATACATGTAGATCTATCTCTCTATACGTGTGTATATCTATCGAACTGAAGAAAGTAATATTTTACGGTCTTGTGATTTTATATGCGCCAAATATCTCATACGAAAAATTCAGTTATTTTTGCCTTTCCCCATCTCATTTAAATGCATGAATTATAGCAACCAATTTCGAGCACATTGGCAAGAAAAATGAAAACAGCGCGCGACTACACATTTCGATCAACGGAAAAGAAAGAAGAAAAAAAACCAAACGAGACAGCACAGTGCAGCAGCAGCAACAACAGCAAACAGCAATAGTAGTAATAGCAATAACAGAGAGTAACAAACATGAAAAATTCCCAATTTCACGATGAATATGTTTTCCTTTTTTTGCAATTTCACATTTACATTCACATTCGCATTCGCATTCGCATTCGCATTTTCCAAATCACAATTCGCTGTGAGTGTGTGTGTTTTCGGGCAAAAGATATGAATGATTTAGTTGACTACCTATTTGATGGTGGAGAGTGGTCGGTGACGCTGCCAATCGCACACGGTTACGCACTCTCTGTGTGCTCTAAAAACGAATGTGTTTGTGTCCCCAACCAATAATGAGAGGCGAGCAAGAGCCCAAAACATGGGATTTTCGATGAGCACAGAGTCCAAAAACATCAAGTGAACCTTTGCCGAAGAGAAAATATCATAATTTGCATAATGTTAATTCGGGGAGAAAAAATCCGAACGAGAGAAGGGAAAAAAGTCGTATCGAATCGTAGAATGAGAGAGAAAAGCGGTGATTTGGTTGGTACCTTTGGTGATTCTCAGCTCCTTGGCTGTGGTTGTATGCTCAAGTGACATTAAAAATATCATAAATTATGTGTGCTCACATTTGTTCACCGACAGCAACAACAACAACTACAGCAGCAGAAGCGGCAGCAGCAGTCAATGCTAGGGAAGAACAATGTCAACGAAATGCTCTCACTCTCATCCTCTCGCTCACTCGAACTATGGGCCCGTTTTTTTGTGTTTGTCCCCGTGTTGTGTTTATATTCACAACGAATATTATTTTCGAAATGGGCTTCGACCAGAAAAATAGCAATATGATATGATGATGGTTTTTGCTCTTCACTCCGGCGAATCGAGTAAAGGACTTTCTTTTTTGCTATGTCGCTCTCTTTCTTTTCGTCGAATATTTTACGTGTTGTCTTCATTCTGCTCTCTTTTTTCTTATTAGAATGTTGTCGTGCGCATTTGATGTTCCCAAGTCTCTCGGTTGCCCACATTTTCCGTTCAAGATTCTGCTTTTTTTTGTCATCGTAGTCGTGTAGATTCTTTCCCCCCCAATAACCATTCAGAAAACAGTTTTCCATGCGAAAAAAAAATATGTACGGCAGCAGCAGCCAATACGTTCAAACTGTCTAGTGACTCTATCTCTTGTTGTGTATTTGTAAAATACGCCAAATAAATGTGTAATAACAGCAAGAAGATTGATAGCTCAATTTATTTCTGAATGTAATCATCTCTTTCGTGTCGGTTGGAGTGAACAAGCCAACAACGAGCAAATGAGCAAACGAGTGAGAATATCAGTACTTATAGCAACCAAGAAAGTCGATTGCCTCTTTTTCTTTCGCATGAACTTGACTGAACTGACGCTCAATTTGTAATATGTATGCAACGATTTTTTTTTGTTTTGGTTTTCACCGTGACAATAATGCTGAGATTGTCTCATTTGCCAACAACACCAAACAATGCCATACGGACAAAAACCATAATCTCTCTCTCACACACACACTCGCACGCACTCTATGCGTAATATGCAACTTCTAATGCGACAAATATACTCTTTTATAGATGAATACGCAAAAAATTGCCATTAACTGGATTTACACTCTCATCACCGACACAAATTTAAAGGTCGTTTGCACAGGATTATCAGTGATCAGCACAATGTTAAATTTTATGCAACCGATTTACATTGTGTGTGTGTGTGAAATTCACACTGTGGTGTTTTATTTTGGTATTCATTTGAAACCAATCGATTCGTTACGAATTCATGACAATCACGATGGATTTGGCTGGCATTTTGAATAGCGTTTTCGTGACATTGAAGAACTGATGGGGTTTTTTGATTGAAGGGATCTTTTTTGATGACTTTTTTCCATTTCCTCCCAAAAATTTACCTTTTTTTTTCTTTGATAAATGTTAAAGAAGTTTTAGTTTTTCTAATTAGAAATTCGAATCTTTGCGAATTCGTCATTTATTTTTCATTTAATGCACTTTCAACTGCTTTCATCAGCCAACTTTGGAGCAGTCATGATATTCAAATATTATGAACGATCATTTGATTTATCGAAACCCAAATTTGCTGGTTTCTATACAAAATGTTCCCATAAAAAACGTATAATTTGGCGCTTCTCGTATAGGATTCGCGGTTTTGATCGGTTTCTGTGTGTGTGCCCTTTTTTGTTCTCTCTTTCTATCACCACCAAATTCAATGGCCATAGTCATACATAGTTGTTTGTGTGGAACGTGCTTGAAATGGCGACAAAAGCCCACATAAAGCCACGATTGAGTATATTAAAAAGGTTTTGTTTGTTCGGTGTGCCATTCATTCTCTTGTATGCCTGGCGAATTGAATTTTATTTCTTCATCCGTTTTGTTCTTTTTTAATGACTTAACACACAGCCGGATAGATAGCTGATATGCGGCTATTTTAGTTGTATTCAGCAGAAAGACATTTTTATTACGTATCAGACAGAAACAAAAAAAAACACCGACTAAATTGCTTATACACGGCACTGGTTGATTGAATTCCGTTGTTGTTGTTAAAACTACAAATTACTAACGACTCTGTGTACGAAAAATTGAGTTTCAACTGAATCGATTGAACAAAATGTTTGTCTCGAGTCAAAATTCGCGTCTTTTTCAAACAAAAAATCACTCGTCTCAACTTCTTGTACGCAAAAAAATGATTCGCAACTATCTGTTCTCGTTGGATCATAATTAGCATTGAACCATTCATCCGGGAGCAAAATAGTACGAGTGATTTGCCGAAATTTATGTGCATTTTCTGGGTATTTAGCTATCGAACAATCTGAAAGCAAAAAATGAAAAGTGTTCGGCTCGATTTGTGTGAAAATGGGTCAATTTAGTTGTGCGAAGTAAGTGTGTTTATAGCTCCATAGTTTGGATGGAAACACAGTGGAAAATAAAAACAGATCCAGACATAAAGATTGCTAGTGTAATTTTAGCGATGGTGCGAGAAAAAGTCGTACAATTTGTAGCCGCTCACACATAGAATAATCGTTGACTTTGGGAATGACCTTGAATCGTGAGAACTATGATACATTCGTTCCATTGTTCGGTTTGTATGTGTGTAAAGAAATTTATTCAATTTATTTGACAACTTCCACCTTTTTTATGTCTGCTGGTTAAGCTGTCATTTCAGTGCTGACATTTGTGTGTGTGTGTGTTTGTGTGTTCGTGTGCGCGCTCGCGCTCATTTATTCTCACAGCGCAAGTCGTTTTGTTTTGAATTAAACTTGAAAAATTATCATATTTATTCCTTCTGAAAACCTGCTTTTCTTCCATTGACTCCAATCAGTGTGTTCGTATGCATTCGCAAACTTAATTTTGTTTCGATTTTTGCGATAAATCTTAAAATATACAGAGAAAAAAACGCAAGGAAAAATGTACTCACCATCGCCACCCGCGCTCCCCTGCGAACCATCTTCTGAAAATACATCAAAAACAATGTCTGCCAATAATAAATTAGGTCTAGATTTTTCGCAACTCGTTTTGATACATTCATTCGCTCAATACAAAAACCGAATGAAGCACACTATTTTTTTTCCCTACTCGCATGCGGAATATATTAAATGGGCAAAATATCAAACAGTGTCAGAGAGCGGTGCGGCTTTTTTTGCAAAGAAAAAAAGAAGAGAAGAACCAAAACAAAATGGTTTTAACCGAAAATTATATACACACAACGCTCCTGAACACACATTTGATTTTGAAAGATTGAACAGAATAGTTTTTTTAAGTATGAAAAAAAAAACGCCAGGCAATTTTGGTTAAGATTAAAAGAATGCGCTCTTTTGTACAGTCAACATTTGGAACAGACCTTCAAACTCGGTACTGGTTTTATTTTTCAAATTGGAGTTTTCTCGATATAGGATTCTTTTTTTCCCTAAATATTAAAGTGCATTCGATGGTTTCGATATTCTTTTATTCATTTTAATTTGAATCCTACTTGTCAGACTTTGCATTGATGAATAAGATTCTGATTTGGTGGAATTGATTTTCATTGACCCAAGCTTTGGACCAAAGCCTTTGATAAGTTTGAATTTTAATTTTTCCAATGGGAATCTCTATTTTTTCAATTAAAACGTGTTTAATTCTCGAGTTTGATTGTAAGCTTGAGTTTGATATAAAACTTGTTTGAAAACAACAAGGAAGAAGAATGAAACAAGCTTGAATACCAGTTTACACTAGTCATAGTTGTTTTATTAGAAATTTGGATGTTCAACATTTTTCGTTCTATTTCTTTTTGATGGGGTTTGGCATGTTGATTGAGTCATGCTGTTTTCTTTTTCATTTTGAACCATCTTATTCCATTATAATAGAACTTTTATCTAATTGATAATTATCAATGAAGTTTCCAAGATTCAAATAGTTGAACTGTTCCAAAGTTACGACTTGACTTTCTACGTTTATTTTTCTTCCATGTTCAATTTGAAACGAAATTTGATTGAACGACAAATAATTGGCGTAAATATTGTGGAAACCAACTCACTTTTTTGTTGCTTCTCGTCATGCATGGTGATATGATTTGGGCCTTGTGATTGCTGTTGCTGCTGATGGTGATGCAATAAACCAACTGAATGATGTTGTCCAGATTGTGCGGTTAGTCCATGTGATCCGATAATTCCATGATGATTTATGTGCTGAATGTGCACTGATGGTTGCAATTCCATACTTATCATGACATATAAATCATCTGCAAGCAAAAACCCATACGAGAGAAAGTAAAAAAGAAAATTAGCAAAAAAAAATGGTGTCAAGTCGAAATGTTGAATATTAAAAATGGCAGTGGCTAAAAACTGGGTATCTTCCTCGTTAAAAAAAATCTCTCCAAAACGGAAGCAAATCCTGTAATTGTCTAAAATCACTAGAGATTTGCTTTTTTCAGCTAGAATCTTTTTCCGAAGCAAAAACAGAGAACGTTCAATGAACTCGCGTCGTGTTTTGCAAAATTATCAACCGAAAATTGGTTTGTTATTGAATGCGGTCATCTCAAGCGGAGATCATTCATTATCATTGTGTGTCACTGTGATGTTTCGCAATCCCCCCCCCTCAGTTGAAGTTCAATCGCATTTTCATCGTTCATTGAAAGGTATCTCGTGAATTGTCGCAATTTTCGTCGATCATTAAACTTGAAACAGTCCAAAGACACAGCCCAATTACATAAATGATTTTGGTGTGTGTATGTATGCTCCACGCTTTACCTGAAAATTGACGAATAAAATACGGTATCATTTTTTCATCTTTGGCGAAAACAAAATAAAAACAGTTCAGTTGTTGACAATAAAATACACACACACCAAATCAGATAAACGGGTGCCAGAGAGAGAGAAAGATGAAAAAACTACACCAGATAAATGTACCATCTATTTTCGATTTTATGCACATTATCGTGCGATCATGCGCACACTATATTGTTTTGTGTAACTTTTCAATTGAGATATTTTTTGTTGTTGTTGCTGCTACTCTTGTTCTGCTTTTCTCCTCTCTCGACTGCGCTCTCTCTCTCTCTCCCTCTCTCTCTCTCTCTCTCTCTCTCTCTCTCTCTGTTTGTGTGTGTGTATAAATTCATACAAAACTATTACGTTTGTTTGATTTTCATTCACCAAAGCGAATGAACTCGAGTGCAGTCGAATGGAAAATCTATGACGATTTTTCCGTGTATAACATTCATTGGCGAAGTCGTTTTTTTTTCATATATTCACAATTTTTTTTTCACTTGAATTGAAAAGAATCACCACGACGTTGTTAGCGAAATAATGCACGTTTGAAATGCTTAAATATTTGGTTGTGCTGTTTGCTGCTGCTGCTGCTGCTGCTACTTATGATGTTATTGTTGTTGCCAGTTTTTTTTTCTTCGTTCATTTCCAATAATAATCTATCCCATTTAACTGTTTACTCCAGCCATTCATTGACAATGGCGCGTTTTTAGAAATTGAACGGTTTACATAAATGTGGAGTGATCAGCAACAAGTTGTTTTCATAACTAGCTCATATTTGAAATTCACTAGTAAAAATCTCTCTCTTTCTCTGTCTCCCTCTCTATCGCTCTCGCTCGCTTATGTGCATCTTTTTCAAAACCAGCGCGCCACAGCCATTTGTATCTCTCAACATGAATGCGCAAAAGAAAGAATCGAGATAGCAGTGTGGGCTTTGTATGGCAAAATTAGAAATGGTAGTCTTTTTTTTGTATCCGTGTGCACGGTCAATCGTAATTGTTGAAAACTCTTGTTAAACAAACAAAAGATGTCAACATTAGGTCGCGATTTTCGTGTGGTTTTCATCGGCCACAGCAACCGATTGTCTTGAATTGAAGTACATCGATCTTTCGAGAGAGAAAAAAAAAACTGAAAATCTTTTTGAAGGAAACCCATCGATCGATGTTAACTCGACTCAATTTGATGAGAGAGATGGGAAAGATGGTTTTATGTGTGACGATCTTATGAATATTTCACTTCGAAAGATAAGCTCTTTGTTTGTTTTCAATTTTTGAATCATTTATCTACAATTTTGCACCATTTTTTCTTTTGTCAATGGACTCTTGATTATCACTTCATTACTTCTTTCACTATTGAAATGAATTTCGAACACTTGAAAACACAAATATTTCGTTGGCTTCAATTGAAATCCCAATAATTTATAGAATACCTTTTACAGACAAATGGGTGTAGTCTTCTGTAGAAAAGGTGAAAGTAGGATCAAAAGAATTTTTAGAAAATATGAACAATTTTCAATAAAAAATAAAAAAAATGAGAATTGAAATGAAATAAATGTTGGAAAGAAAAAATATTGCCGATGCTACTGAAACTGGTTGAATTTCGATTAAGAAAATTAACAATAAAACCTGAATTGTTCTTTTCTTTGGTTCAGATCCAGGTAGCGCCATCAATTTGGTAATAATAAAAAACAAGCAACAACCCGCTACACTTGCGATCTAATTCTTTATGTGCATCAGTTGCCCTTATGTCTTCTTGTACATACGTTCGCTCATTCATTAGTTCGTGTTTTTTTTTCTCGTTTCTATCCCATTTTCACCGAGTACCGATTCAATTTATCGTCGTATCAGACGAAGACGAAAGCGAATAAGGGTCGAAGAATTAAATGCCACATGGCTTCTAAATGAACGTCGTCGCGCATGTCTTGTGCTCTGTACTACACTCTATCTCGCAACAACATTCTTTCGGTGCATGTTTTATTCTCATTCATTTGCAGTTTTGGCGGCATTCTCAACGTAACGGTTGTCACCACGCAACAGACATTTAAAAAAAATACAACAACAGAAACGAAGCAAGAAACCGACACAGGCGAAGTATGTGTGGAAAAACGACACATGCGAACCGACCGACTGCTTAACATTTATTATCGTAAAATTGATCCACACGATTATGGTGCAGCACTTGAGCCTGATCAATGTAGGTTATTTCCGAATGCAATAACAAACAAATTAGTGTCACAACGCACCGAAACACACACACACACACACGAGCGCGTGTTATTTTAATACACCAAAATACTCAACTTAAAAACATATGAACAAAAGTGTTTTTGGCTGTGGAAATGAACTCGTGAAATTAATCGGCAGATTTTATGGTTTGATAGAAGATACACAAATTTAGGGGCTAAAGGATGATTGGATCCTTTGGTTAGAAGAGATGAAGAGCCTCTTATGCTGAAAATGACCTTTTTTTCAGAAAATTAACAAAATAACCAAAGAATTCTTCAAAATTGAAGAAAAAGATGGAACAACTGATTGATGACGATAAAAATTATGTTTGACTGCAAACGGGTCGACCAAACTACGCAAAACCTGCCACAGGACGATATAATGCGAAAATGATTTGCCAAATCTGTGATATCCTTGGTTGTTCTTTCCAACGGAATTCGGTTGAAAAGTCTGTTGATAGAATGTGTAGTATGTGTCAAGTTGTGAGCCGCGATGCCATTTGTATGCTTAAAAGTGAATTTCATTACTTGCGCCATATGGTGAATTCGTTAAAGAACTTGTTTCGTTGTTGGCTGGTTTTTCGGTGTTTCCCTCGTTTTCGAAGCGGTTAAGGACAGTGCTACGCGCTCGGGAAAACAAAACAACGAATTTCGGGATAGAGAGGCAAAGGGAGATAGAAAAACACAGAAGCTAACGATTTCTATCATTATTGTTATGAGCGAACACATAATGTGAATCTATCATCTACACATCATATGGAAACGAAGCACTGAAATTTCATTGTCAAGGAGGAAGTAACGAACGAGCGAGAGAGAGGGAGAGAGAAAGAAGAAGAAAATAGGCACGTGTTTTCATTCTTATCCAAAAGCAATATCTAAGTTATTGTTTTTTTCCTCTCTTTTTTCTTTGTGTCTCATCTTCTTCGTTTTTCCAACAGAAAACATGAACTTTGCATGCCATGCACCACCTTCGATGGGTCAAATAAATAATTGCTTTTCAAAAATGATTCGCATGTCATTTGAACACACACACCAACCGCATAATGAGTACAAGAAATAACGATAACATTTTTTTCTGGTAATTGAAATGGATCCATCGGTGGTTCCGTCTGCGCATGGTGCACTTTGGATTATCACCGGATTCTGGTTTTATTTTTTTCAGTCGGTTTTTCCGTAATTCGCGTTCTCCCAATTTAAATGTTGCTTGAGTGGTGGTTGGTTTTACCTTTATCTTCATGGTATTCAACATCTGGATTGTCATCATTTTGTTGATTCTGCCTTTGCCACCGACTGATTCAATGGCACCGACAATGAACAAAAACCAACACACATTCAAGAAAAACAAATCGAATGAAGCAAACGATTCCAACGTTTATTTTCTGTTCTACCCTGGAGAAGTGAGACGAAAATTGCGTTTGACGATGATTCCACGCCAAAATGTGATTGAACCGAAACTCAAGTCAAAACACAGAAAGCATCAAATTCAAGTGGCAAAATAGCGTGAACGACAGTCCAAAATGCGACAGACCGAAACACATCACTCGAATTCACTCTGTTAATCGGTCACTGTGTTATGAATAAGTTACCACATCATTGCATGGCTGGCTTTTTTTCATTAATTCCAGCCGCTTCTTGCCAAGTGGTGATAAATATGAAGAAACCAAGTTCCGTGAATAAAATCTTTTCTTCCTATAAAATGGCTTTGACTTTTGAAAAAAAACCACGAAATTTCAATTGAAAAACTTTTGCGACTAAAGTTTATCATGAAATGATGCAAATAAATGAAAGAGTACGAAAAAAAAGATCAGAATCCACCATTGAACAAATAACATTTTCGCCAAAAGATCGAATGTTATGCTCAAAATTTCAATCATATCACGCGTGTTAATATGAGCTGAACACATTTCACATGTGTGTGTGTAAACTTTTACGATGAATGATTCAACCAGACTCGGCTACCGTTCGATTTTCTCACACTTGAGTAAAGATGATTTTCCGCTTGAAATTCCGAAAATGTCTTCATTGAATGAATGCTTGTTTTTTTTATCGTTAAGGGCATCGATCAAAAGTAAACAATCGAAATCATCGCTAGTGCAAAAGGAAAGAGTGGGACGTTTCCTTTGGATTGAAAAATTGTTGTTGTGAGTGTTTTTTTTTTCAGCTTATTCAACAAGAATTTCGATGTTGTTACTAAGCTTGTTCGATACGAACAGAGCACAGACACATAAAAGAAATATTATTTATATTCGGTTG